GAAGAATCCACGTCCCCACTCCCCACGTCAAATGATCCCAGAAGCACGCCAAATCACGACTTTGAAGACCCACCTTAAATGAACAGAGTGAGATATTTGATAAACATCTTCCTTTTGACAAAGATTAGCTTAACGTCATTTAATTAAGTGATTTCTATTTGTTGTCCACACATATTATAGCTATTTATTTTTGAAGGAACCTATACCCTTATAAGTATTATTAATGATAGTATTTATAATTAATTTTGTACAAATTTTTATATTAGATTTTTTTCTTTTTACATATTTTGAATATAAATATTACATTTTATTTTAATTTCACATTTTATATTTTATTTTAATTGAATATGTTATAAAATTTTGTGTCAAATTAATTATAGATATTGTATTAAATAAGTCTTAACCCCTGCCTTAGAAAATTTCATTTTTGAATTATTCACCGGTGCTCTCTAGACTAGGAAAATAGACTTATTTTTATACACTAAAGAATTAACTATTAGGAATAAACCACCTGTGCTACCAATTTTTTCTCATCTTTCTCCACAATGGAAGATATGAGAGATTCAACTATAGTGCCACAAATTGTGAAAGTTGTGAGGATGTTTGTTAAGTTTCATCTGTTATTGATTGTGACTAATCTTATCTTTGGGGTTATATTTCTACAGGATTGGATTGAAAATGAGCTAAGCAATCAATGGAAAATTCTCAAAGTTTATTACCAATCAACAATGAGAGTTTTGCTAGATCCAATTATTGAGAAGATGAAGAATCTATCTGAAGTCCTCCAAATGTATCTCAACAATGAAGTGACAAAGGGTCAACTAAAGGCCAAGTTGATCGGTAAACTTGCCCTGTTCTTTGCCTCATTTCTCTTGATGAATACAGATTTTAGTTTAAAATATGATAAAAGAGGGGCTAAAACAAAATTATTGTTTGTCGTTGCCCTTAACATGCTAGTACATTCGAACTGTTGGAGTCAACTCAAAAGTCTACGAGGAAAGTGTAGTTGCACAACAAATTCAATGTCAAACTTCACCTGCTTTATTCTAGCACTTGTTTTTGCAAGATTGTATGACAATTCATTAAGGAGCCTCATCGTTGTGTTGTGCATCACAATTTTTCTTCTATGTGAACTAGTGGTATTATGACCGTGGATAGACCTTGGGTTGTTTAGTTTCATCATTGGAGTCATTGGATCGATTACTTACAATCGGTTCAAGTTCATATTTCCCTCATGGATAATTGCCTCCATCTATTTTGTGTTGATCAGTTTCAAAAGTTGGTTAGATAAGTATTGGTTGCATTTGGAAGAAGATTAGTCATTGGCCTCTACAAATACCATGGCTGGAAGCACCAACTTGTTTTTGATTTTTTCATCAATTGTCATAAATATTGGAAGAGCCAACTTTTTCTCTCTTGCTATCAAATCTTCCTTATCTAACTATAAAGATTGGTTAGTTAAGGCAATCATTACTAGGATTTGGTGTGCTCAGTTCTATAAGTTCAATCCCCAGGATAGCTTATGGCCCCTTACAAATACCAATGGAATCAATGGTTTGATTTTAGCCATTGTAAGTGTTGCACAAGGCATGTTCTGGTTTGCCTTTATCACATGTCCTATGGCTAATTATAAAGACTGGTTATTTGCAATAATCAATTATATGGTTTTCTGTTTTTGGTTGCAAAGATTTTCCCCCAAAGAGCTATCACCACCCTCCATAAATACTAAAGGAATCACAAGCACGATTTTGTCTTTGAAATCCATTGTTACATACAGTATTGTGGTGTTGGCTGGTTTGGAACCTTGCCTATACTATACAGATTGGTTAAGTGTGGTAATTTGTTATGTGTTTTGGTGGGTTTGATTTCGTATGTCCTTTCCCAAAGATCTATTACCATCCACTATAGTTGAATTTAAATTTCCACATTGGTGGTCAACATGGATATTAATTACCATGGCTTCAGATGTCATATCTTAGATCAAAACCATGTAGAAAAACACAAAATCAACAAGAAGGATGAAGATCTTGCATGCTAAATTGGAAGCACTTGGACATATAGGTACCGTTTGAGAAAGCTTTTTGGTCTTTAAGCTTTTGGTTTTTATGTGTTTTTATTATTTAAAAATATGTAAAATATTAATTAAAATAAATATACAATATATTTTATATTTTTTTAAAATGTTAAAAGATTAAAAAACCTACAGCTGCAGGTACAGGTTAACATTATCAAACTAGGTTATAGAAATTTTGATGTTACTATGTCATTTCCTTTTTCATGGTGTGGATGGTGATTGTTGAACCCACAGGTTCAACACTCGATGGGACACACCTAATAAAAATATATAAATGTATAAATACATAGGCTAGTTTAGAAATATGATGTGAATATAGTTATCTTTCCATCCATTCATCAAGATATTGTCTATTCATGTTTCCAAACAAAAACCAACAAGAACACCCAAAATTATTCTGCTTTACTTTTGCATCATCCTTTTTGAAGGATCATCGTTTCCTTGTCTTTGCACTAAATGGTAGTGGTTGGTGGGTGAGAGGCATAAGCAATTTCCTCTTATTCCACCAATGAAAAGATAGATTACACATCCTAGCATTTTTTTTTCAAATTTTTTATTTTTACTTAGTGGATTAGGAAAAGAAATCATTGGTTTGAATGAAAAAGTTAAAGGGTGATTTTGAAATCTTTTGGGGGGCATTTTTGCTTCTTTTGGTGGTCAGTCATGGTCTAGTATCGAGTGACATTGTCCTTGATAGTGCATGTGAGGATGTGACTATAATGTGGCGGGTCGATAGCAAAGGGAGGACTATCGTAGATGTACTCAGGATAGTTCTTGATGCACTTGAGTTAGGTTCTTAAAGGCATCAATTTAACTATAGTACACTACATTCAACATTCTTGAAAGTGTTCTTTCAGATTTGAAAATGTTCAATTTTTCAATATTTTTTTATTAGATCCAATTGTTAGATCTAATGTGATTGTAAATCATGATCTTCATTCTCATCTTCCTATTGTTGGTGGGAAATAGAGTTACAGTTTTTTGGATGCACTTTGTTCTAAAATTTGGATTTTGGTTGCGATTTATAATATGCTAATTGGTGGTCTTGTGAACAAAATTGAGAAATTATCTAGATTGGAGATGGAGTAATCACCAGAGAAGGAGAAAATTATCTAGAAAGAAATGTGAAACCCAGATCGGAATATGAGTTTTATGCTATAAAAGATGTCTTCTTCGATATCAAAATTAGGTTTACAAGGAATTCCCAAAGAGCAAACGATAAACTCAGATAAATGAGGAATAATAAACCTTAATAAACCTTATTAAAGCACTATATTTTATTTATTGAATTGGAGGTGTGCAACTGAATGTGATGGTCAAGGGGATAAATATATCATTTCTCATAAAATAATTATATTAAAACAAAATTTTATGGGAAATTAGAACATTTTTTTATAAAAATTTAAACAACTAAATTAGAATAACCTTTTACAATAAAAAGTATGAAAACTAAATTAAGATATAAACTTTAGTGATGAGTGAACTTTAAAGATAAAATTTTGTATATACTTATAAACAAGATAATTTATAAATAACGAAAATTTATCTAGCTAGCCAAACATCAGATACTCAAGTTTATTATATATATATATATATGTAAAGGAAATCATCTTTACATATGTATTTCAATTTCTTAAGGGTAGAAGGTGCAATTCAGCCCCCCTACCTGCAATGTTGTGGGAGATCAGCCCCTGTACTAGAAACACTGGCAAATCAGCCCCTCTACTTCATGTTGTCCGCAAAACAACCCTTTTAGTGAGAATGACGTCATTCCACC